GGTTAGGGTTAGGGCTAGGGTTAGGGTTAGGGTTAGGGCTAGGGAATCATGGGAACTGTATTTTATTGTGGCACCAGAGCTCTCTGACAGAGAAGGCTCAATGTCTCAGGAAAAAAACAATTCCCATGATTCCCTAGCACTAACCCTAACCACAAAGTGGACTCAATTTGCACTATTTCTGGCAGTCTGCAACCCCCCCAAGTCAAAACACAAAACTCATTTATTATTCATATATACTTTACAACACAACTTGAAGATAATTTTACACACAATATTTTAATAATTTTGTGCACTGAACCATCACAAAGCATAAGTGTCACTATCTCAGCCACCCATGAAAAAAGTTTTGAATATTTTAGAATATTTTGGATTTCAGAATTCCAGATAAGGAAGACTCAACCTGTGCTAATTTATAGCTGGGTGGCCTTATTATCTCATTGTATCATGCTTTAAGGCACACCAATGTTTCCGGCTTTTCTGTTCCTGCCAGTTTTATCTCTGTCATTCTGAAGGGTGCAATGGCTTTCATATTTATTGCTCAGGGTTTTCGTGGGATGGGCCAAACTCTGCTTCCAGGGCACAGCTATCAACTACCTCTGTCTCTGATAAAATCCTGTTATCTGGGCTCTCCTATTCTTCTTATTCATCCGAATCCTCCTCCAGGTAGGGCATGATAGTCACTTTCTCTCATTCCACATACAAGCACTGACTTGACTTGCAGTTGAATCCTTTCTCAACACTGTTGATGGCAGCAGACTTGCTTAGCGAACACATAGAACAGGCTGTGCAACACCCTTCTCCAATACTTTGCTTTGTTGTTGTGTGCCTTCAAGTCATCTTTGTCTTATGGCAACCCTATCGTGGGGTTTTCTTGGCATGTTTCTTCTGAAGCTTGAAAGAGTGTGACTTGCCCAAGGTCACCCAGTCAGTTTACATGGTCGAGCTGGGATTCAAACCCTGATCTCTAGAGTCATAGTCCATCACTACACCATGCTGGCTCTCAATACTTTGCTGCCATCTCCCAGCATCTGGCATCTAAGGTGACTATGGGAGGGGGGGTTGCAGACTGCCAGAAATCGTGCAAATTGAGTCCACTTTTAGGGTTAAGGTTAGTGCTAGGGAATCATGGGAATTGTTGTTTTTTCTGAGACATTGAGCCTTCTCTGTCAGAGAGCTCTGGTGCCACAATAAAATACAGTTCCTATGATTCCCTAACCCTAAAAGTGGACTCAATTTGCACTATTTCTGGCAGTCTGCAACCCCCCTACATCTCATGCTGCCTAAAAGTAAGATTGACTGTGATTGATAACACTCCTCATCTGATGCAGAAAGCCTTTCAAAGCAATTTGCCACAACACAGAAACAAAGCATCATTTAGAATAAAAATAAAAACCAGGAAAAATGTTTCTAAAATTGACACAAAACCATCAGAGTAAGTTTAAAAATAACTAAAAGCCTAGGGTAATAAAACCTTATGAGAGCCAGGGTGGCATAGTGGTTTGAGAGTTGGTGGAATAGTGGTTTGAGAGTTGGATGACGATTCTGGAGACAAGGGTTCAATTCCCAGCTTGGCCATGGAAACCCACTGGATGACCCTGGGCAAGTTACACTCTCTCAGCCCCAAGGGAAGGCAATGGCAAACCTCCTCTGAACAAATATTGCCAAGAAAACCCCATTATAGGGTTGCCATAAGTTGGAAACCACTTGAAGACACACAACAATAACAATAAATACTTGATCTGACACCAAAAAGGTAGCACCAACAGATGAGATGCATTTTTGAAAATCAGGGAACAGAGACCTTTCCCAAGTACTGGTGATGGCAGAGGGATCTTGAATGAGGATAATAGGACCATGGAGTTGGAAGAGACCAAAATCATCTAGTCCACTTTCCTGTTCCGTGTGGGATTTGCAAAGCAGACTACAACCACAGGATCCCTTGCTGTTGAGCCTCTGGTGAATATCGCCAGCTAAGGAAATCCTACTACCTCCCAAGGCAAAATGTTAAATAACCATTAGCCTCAGGAAGCTGTTCCCAACATTTTAGCTCAAACCCATTTTCCTGCAATTTCCATTCCCTGGTTTTCGCACTGCCCTCTGGAGGAACAGAAAACAAGCCTGCACAATCTTCTATATCACAACCCTCCAGATATTTTGAGATGACTATTATCAAGTTTCCATTTAAACCTTGCAACCTCCTGGTGTTAAGCTGCCTTATACTGAGTCAGACCGTTGGTCTCCAGCATCACTGATGGTGGCTCTTGATCACAAGCAGATCATTTCATGAATTAAGTGCCCAAAATCCTATTCACTGGAGCTCCTGAAGACTGACCTTGGGACCGTCTGCATGCAGAGCATTTATTCTGCAATCCAGATACAGCCCCTAACCAATTTACTATATGGAACATATTCTTAGGTGAATCTATTCATGATTAGGACTCTAGTTATATTCTGGGTGGAACTTAGTTGGTTATTCTATTTTTGGGGTGGAACGTAGCTGGTAGTTCTATATTGTGGTGGAACATAGCAGATAGTAGTTCTATTTTGGGGTGGAGCCTTTCATCTAAGAATTCCCTATCAGGGTCAAGGCTTGGAAGATAGGTGTCAGATGACCTGAGGGAATGGATGGCAGTGTTATTTTGGGATGGAGCTACTCTAAACCTTAAATTTGTAGTCATTTAGCCCTATGTTATTCCTTTGACTTCAATTTCCTAAAGACTCTTGCAGAAAGCTTGAGGGGTGCACACTGTCTGAACATCAGTTAATATTTTGGAATATAATCAAATAACATAGAGCGAGGCAACTTCTTTCACACCGAGAGAACGGTGAGGGAACTCACCTCAGCACAGGTCTTAAAAACTTCCATGTGGTGGTCCTCACCTTCCTTGTGAGTCAGTTCCTTTAAGTCATGTCCAGAGCAGAAAACAGGCCCTTCACCTTTGATGATATTTGTGCAAGAAAACAAGAGAAACGTACAAAGTGTTACACATTCCATACTGAACACATAAATGTCAATGTCCTTGACTGGAGGCCTACAGAACTGATCAGAGATGTAACATTTCCAAAAATGTTGAAATCATTGGGGAAGGTGACTGTATTTCCCCCCAAGAAAAAAAATGGAAATTTTCAGAAAAACTGAAAAAAGCAATATTAGGACCCTTTACCGATTAAATACAGTCAAGGAAGAACCGCATAGCAGCTGGATAGATTCAACCAAAGAAGTCACAGTCCTGAGTCTGTAAGATCTGAGCAGGGATCTTGAGGTTAGGGTGACTGGGAGGACTCTCATTCATAGTCTACCATAAGTCTAAGGCTGCATCTACACTGCCGAAATAATATTCAGAGCTCTGCTCTGGTGTCACAACAAACTACCATTCCCAGAATTCCATAGCATTGAGCCATGGCACTTAAAATCATGTCAAACTGATTATTTCTGCAATGCAGATGCTGCCAAAGTCGACTTGCAGGCAGCTAACAACAACAGACTGAAAGTCACATTGTCATTTTAGGAACATAAAAGCCATTATATATAACATGGTTTGACACAAAATTATCATGTCTGATATATTTAAAGTACTTATTATTATTATTATTATTATTAATAATAATAATAATAATAATAATAATAATAATAATAATAATAATAATATCCCGCCCCTTTGCCAAGCAATCAGGGCGGCTTACAATGTTAAAATTATCATACAAATATAACCCACATTCAAAAAACCCTGAAACCCACCCACCCCTTAAGAAAGTATTAAACAAATTATACATTAAAACATAACAATACATTAAAACATATTTAAATAATCTTGCTGAAGCGACAATAAAAGAATAGTAGCAGCAGCTACGGCAGAGTTGGAGAAGAGAAAATAGGCTGATTCCTGAGGCCGGGAAATCTAGTCAGGAAAGGCCTGCGGGAAGAGATCCATTTTAACAGCTTTTTTAAAGCTGCTCAAGGTCGTAATCTGACGGATCTCGTCCAGCAGGCCATTTCATAATCTGGGAGCGGTCGCCGAGAAGGCCCTCTGGGAGGTTGCAGACAGCCTCGTTTTTATCGGCTGCAGTAAATTCCTCCCAGAGGATAGGAATTACAATTCACTTTTTTAAACTTTTCATTTTTTGTTATACATGAAGCTACAAGGTTCTGAACAGGAACACTTTTTGCTTGGCTGTATGGAGCAGGTGTAACCCACTCATTCCCTTATTAAAAAACGAGAAAATGAAATCAAAACCAGGAACTGCTATGTTTCAAAACAGCGTGTACTTGTCCCTCCACATTCCCTGGGGTTAGGGGCACAGGATCTCCGTGAATGTGGAAAAACCGCAAATAACAAAAACACTATGCTTTTTCCTGAGAGAATGCCTCTCTAGGAATCTCTAGGTCCTCCAATACAACTCTGTGGTCAATATCTGCCAGAGTTGAATTTGCACTGGAGGAGCTATAAATGCCTAGTGAAGTAATTCTCTCTGGGAATGTCAGTTCCTTCAGTGCAACTTTTGGTTAAAGTTGACCACAGAGTTGCACTGGAGGACCTAGATATCCCTAGAGAGAGTATATTCATAAAATCTGTGAATAATCAAATCTTTCAAAAGTCAAAACCACAAATGTGGAGGGACGAGTGTACACAGTCTTCCTTTAAAATCTACCTGCTATGTTATTTTACTAATAATGGTGTGTGTGTGTAAGTGTATGAACCTTATGTTTTAAATATTTTTTTCTCATTGTAAGAGAAAATAGTCTATAATCCATTTTTTCCAGCAAGAAAAAAGCCTTCAGAAAAAATAAAGGAAAACAACAACAACATTTTTTCACTGAAATGTTTCTAGATTTTTTCCCTAGACCTTCATTTCTCCAGGTTTTTGACACACAGGATAGTCATGTGTGAACCCTACAAGTCTTCAAGTCTTTTCCAACTTGTGGCAATCCTAGGGCCTATCACAGGGTTTTCTGAGGCTGAGAGTGTGTGACATGTCCAAAGTCACACAGCGAGTTTTCATGGCCAAGCAGGGGATTGATCCCTAGTCTTCAGAGCCACAGTCCTATGCTCAAACCACTACACCACACTGGCTCTTGAACACCACATCCACTGGTCCATATAAAGATCACTTTGAGGCCCGATCCATGGAAGGCTGTTGAAAAGGAAAGGAACAAAATAGTAGTAATTCCACTGTTCCTTTGGGGTGGGGAGGAACATTGCAATGGAAGGAGTGCTGAGATCTGAAGAAATAGGAGTAAACTAGGGCATGAAAAGCTTGCACAGCAGGTCTCTAAATCGACTATAATGCTCACAGGAAAGTCTGATGCTACCAACTACTAAAAGTGTGACTGCAACCCAGTGTTTTGTTGTTGTTGTGTGCCTTCAAGTCATTGCTGACTTATGGTGACTCTAAGATGAACCTATCACAGGGTTTTCTTGGCAGGTTTCTCCAGAGGGGGCTTGCCACTGCCATCCTTTGAGGCTGAGAGAGTGTGACATGAAGAAAGTCACCCAGTGGGTTGCATGGCCGAGCTGGGATTCAAACCCTTGTCTCCAGAGTCACAGTCTAATGCTCAAACCACTACACCACACTAAAATTATGCATTAATCCTTATAAATACGCCTGTTCTCAAATGCAAACAATAATCCAAGTGGAACAATATATTTCTTTATTCCATCAAAGAAAATGCATATAATAATGACTCAAAATCAATGACAACACGAGGCATAGTAAAATCCTTAAAGGTTTGGAATACACCATCAAAAAACAATCATACAGTGATGTCTATTATAATACAAATCCAACACAAAGTATGCTTTGGTCTGTCATTGATTTTGAGTCATTATTATACTTTGACAAGAATATATTGTTTCAATTGGATTATTACTGATTTATATTTGAGAACAGGTGCACTTCCTAATAGTGTATACATAATTGTAACATTAGATTACAGTTACACTTTTAGTAATACCAGACTTTCCTAGTAATCTTATGATCTGAAGAAACAGCCCTTTGGTCTGTATTGTTTTTAAATATGTTGTTAGCCATCTCGAGTCTCCTTCTTGAAAGAAAGACAGGATATAAATGAATAAAAGAACACCAACAAGAACAGACTACAAATAGAGGTCAGGATGGAAGAAACAAGAGTACCTGAAATAATGATGATTCGCAGATCGGTGTTTCCAATATCATGCAAAATGTCCTCACGGAGAGATCTCAGCATGGAGAGCGACAGGGCATTTCTTTTCTGGGGGTTATTCAAGACGATGTTCCTGGAAAGATAAGAGATGACTTGGGACTGAGGGTTCTGACAATGCTAAAATTTGGCAAAGATTTGTGGATACAGGGGAACTTGCATTCACGCACGCTTCCAATACAAAGTTGAAAGGGACTGTGGTTGTATGCCTTTCAAGTCACTTCTGTCTTATGGCAACCCTAAAGTGAACCTATCACCAGGTTTTCTTGGCAAGATTTGTTTGGGGGGGGGGTTGCCTTTGTCTTCTTCTGAGGCTGAGAGAGTGTGACTTGCCCAAGGTCAGCCCAGTGGGTTTCCATGGCCAAAGAGGGATTTGAACCCCAATTGCTAGAGTCATAATCCAACACTGAAACCACTACATCACAATACTATATAGATATAGATATAGATATAGATACAGATATAGATATATAATGTTGCCAGATGGCATTATAATCAACACTCAAACCACTAAACCATACTATATATATGTGTGTGTGTGTGTGTATATAATGTTGCCTGATGGCATTACAATCCAACACTCAAACCACTATACCATGATACATACATATGATGTTGCCAGATGGCATTACAATCAACACTCAACTAAACCGTGATATTATTTATCCCCCATGATAACCCTCTGTTGTCATGGGGGAATCCATTCTGGACCCTCCTGCAAGAACAGAAAATTATGTATAGGCTTGAATGGAGGTGCACACCCCATTTTGTGCCCCTCCATTTGTCGCCCATGGATAGGAGAGAGACACGGATCACAAGTTTGCAAGAATGGAGGGGCAACTGTACGTGTGTGTGTGTGTGTGTGTGTGTGTATGATGTTGCCATAAATAAATAAATAACTGTCACTTGCACTTGTTCACAGTCAGGGTATAATTCCATTCTGGTTCTGAAAAAGCACAAGATTTGAGGCAGACCCAGGTCACTGGTAACCCTTGAAGTGCATGGAGTAATGTGCTGAAGGTAATGACCCTAGCACAGATCTCCAAATGATGTTGGACTTCTGATTCCAGAAGCCTGAGCCAGCATGGCCAATGGTCAAGGATTCTGGAAGCTGGAGTTCAATTAGATCTAGGGATCCAAGTATGGGAAACGTTGCTTTGAGCCACATTCTAACAGTTTCAGAGCCATAACTCTTATCAATCTGTTCTTGTTCTTTTTTCAGGATAGCTGCCCTGTGGAAGAATCCTCTTGGACTTTAGGAAATATGTGAGCTAAAGCTTAAAAGCATACATGACAACATTCAAGGTAGCACTACCCAGAGAGTAAAATATTTGGGAAACATAGAGCCTCCCACACAACAAGGCAAAGGGCAACAGGAGAGGAGTGGAACTTGGTTTACCTCCAATTTCAACAAGACTGTTTTTGCAAGCCAGGCAAAATTCACGATCAATGTCCACTGTGCCTCTCTTCCTTTCCTCCCAGTTCAGTACCATCATCTGTTCTGTTTTTGATAATGCCTTTGCATTCAGAAGGCAATGAATTTCCCTAGACATGTCCTCAGTCCTATTCACACATTGCATTTTAAATACAGATTGATACAGTTACGGCTCTGGACCTGTTAGAATGCGGCCCAGGGCAACGTTTCCCATACTTGGATCCCCAGATGTAATTGAACTCCAGCTTCCAAAATCCCTGACCATTGGCCATGCTGCCATCTGGCAACATCCGCTGTTTGTTTTAGATTTTACTTATCTGCCAGGATTCTCTGGCACTCAGCAGTCAGAGATCTCTTTATGGTTCACAAAATAAATGAAATGCACAGATATAGGATGGGGGACACCTGGCTTGATGGCAGTACATGCGAAAGGGATCTAGGAGTCATAGGCCTGAAACACACAGGCCAAAGGATGCAAATTCTGACCACGTTCAGACTATGCATGCCCCGAACGTGGCTAGAAGCCACACCAACATCCATGAAGAACCGGACCAAGAAGGAGCAGAAAGAATCCACTCCTTCTGGCAATCTGGTTCAGGCCTTGGCAGCAACCTGGATCAGGGCTGGTCCATGTGGTTGCTGTGGTCCAGGGGTAGGCAACCTTTCCCTTTTAAGGGCCGAGGGACTTCAGCTCCCAGAATCCCAGGAGCTATTGGCCAACATGGGACTATTGGCCAACATGGCTGAGGCTTCTGGGAGCTGAAGTCCCTCGGCCCTTAAAGGGGACAGGTTGCCTACCCCTGCATGGTCCCAGGTGAGCAGCACCAGCACAGTTTTGCCATGGTCCTTTTAGCATGTCTGTTTCAGGCCTGTGTGAACCACAGGCTGAATATGAGCCAGCAGTGTGATGCAGCAGCAAAGAAAGCCAATGCAATGCTAGCCTGCATCAATATAGTGTCTGGATCAAAGGAAGTAATAGTAATACTCTATTCCCCTTTAAGGGCCAAGGGACTTCAGCTCCCAGAATCCCAGGAGCTATTGGCCAACATGGCTGAGGCTTCTGGGATCTGAAGTCCCTCGGCCCTTAAAGGGGAAAGGTTGCCTACCCCTGGGTGATATGATAGACCTGTTTAAATATTTGAAGGGATGTCATATTGAGGAGGGGGCAAGTTTGTTTTTGCTGGTCCAGAAAATAGAACCTGGAACAATGGATATAAGCTACAGGAAAAGAGGTTCAAAAAGAGATCTTTCCCAGGTTCTGCTGATTAATAGACACACTGATCAGACTGCCAGAAATAATGCAGTTTGAGACCACTTTAACTGTCCTGGCTCAGTGCTAGGGAATCATGGGAACTGTAGTTTATTATGGCACCAGAGCTCTCTAACAGAGAAGGCTCAATGTCTCAGAAAAAAAACCCTACAATTCCCATGATTCCCTAGCACTGAGCCAGGGCAGTTAAAGTAGCCTCAAGCTGCATCATTTCTTGCAGTCTGTTCAGGCCCAGAGTGACTCAAGGGAGGCCAGAATGCAACCATGCTGGCTGGGGGATTCTGGGAGCTGTAATAAAAAAAAAAGGACTTTGCCCATTAGAGCCAGTGAATCGAGATAGTCCAGAGAGGGGATTCTGGGAGGTGCAGTCCAAAACAGGCTCTTTCCTGAGCTCTGCAAAGTAGGCACAGTGAATGGACATGAAATCTGAAAGTATGAGAAGGGGAGGAGATGACTCTCAGGGGACAAAATGGCAATGGGACCCAAGCTTGGCTGGATCGCCCCCTTTTCCCTCTCCTCCCAGGTCTCTGCCCCCACCTGATGCCATCCCTTTGCCACATGCGGGTGAGTTTCTCCTCTCCTCCAGATGCTGCTGCTGCTTCTGCTGCCTCTCGCTGCTGGTGCCGCTGTCCGGGGGCCTTGGGGTCTCCGCTGCTGCTGCTGGCAGAAGAGCCCCTGCGGCTCCAGAGAAGGGGCAGAGCCCTTTTGGCTCCCCAAAGCCCCCTGCAAGCAGCTGCAACAGTAGCAGCCATGACTCCCTTTCCAGCAAAGGGAAGGGAGTGCCTATAAGGCTCTGTTTGCTGCTGCTGCTGCCGCCTAGTGGCTATTACTTGAAAGCTCCCTTTCCAGCAAAGGGAAAGGAGTGCCTATGAGGCTCTGCTCGCTGCTGCCGCCTAGCGGCTATTACTTGAAAGCTCCCTTTCCAGCAAAAGGAAGAAGCTATCTATAAGGTTCTGCTTTCTGCTGCCGCCTAGCGGCTATTACTAGAAAGCTCCCTTTCCAGCAAAGGGAAAGGAGTGCCTATGAGGCTCTGTTTGCTGCTGCTGCCGCCTAGAGGTTATTACTAGAAAGCTCCCTTTCCAGCAAAGGGAAAGGAGTGCCTATGAGGCTCTGCTCGCTGCCGCCACCTAGCAACTATTTCTTGAATGCTCCCTTTCCAGCAAAAGGAAGAGGCTATCTATAAGGTTCT